AAAGAAAAAAAAAAAACTTGGTAATGGGAAAAAACAACTCAAATTCATGGATAAATGCAGTGAAAAATGCCTTCAAATCTCCCTCCAACAATGATGAGAAGAAGAGATGCAAAAGAGGTGAAGAAAATGAACAAGAAGATGACATCAAGGTACACATACACATACTTATTTTAGAAAAAATAAAAAATAAAAAAATAAAAATAAGGATATTATTATTTATTACACATTCCCTTAATTACATACTTATTAATTTAATTATTTATTTTATTTTTACAGAAAAGAGGAAAAAGGAGATGGATATTTGGCAAGAATTTCCCTACAGAAACAACAATACAAAACGGAGTAGCTAAATCTGCTATCAGCCTATGCACAATTGGACATGAAAATCCAGTTGCAAATGAAGAACCTAAAATTAGAGACAAAAAAACTAATAATATTATTACATCCTTTGAAGATCATCAGCCAAAGAGTGCTATTGCCATGGCTATGGCCACCACAGCTGCTGCCGAGGCTGCGCTTGCAAACGCCGTCGAAATTATTCGCCTCAGTAAAAACTCCATTTTAGCCAGACAAAATCAGGCCGCAATTGTCATTCAGACTATCTTCAGAGGCTACCTGGTAATAGTTTTGCGATGGAGCCATCGGATGACTCGGTTTATGGAGCAATCCATATTTATTCACCAATAGTGTATTGATACGTGTCCTACAATAAATACAATTTGGACATGTGTCAATATATTAAGTGATGCATGACTCCATAAAAAAATCATCTGATGGCTCCATAGAATTTTTGTACCTGGTAAATACATGTTACAATGTTAAGAGGGGGTTATTTGTAATTTTTGAAACATTATGGTGTGGCCTTAATGTAGTTTGGTTAAACCTTGACAACTGTTAGAATTTGTTGAGGATTGAAATTGCGGCAAAATACTAAATCACAGGACCAAAAGGCGAAATGTTAGAATCTTAAGACTAAAATTGCTATAACGATTTAAACGAACAGGATTAAAAACGCAATTCAGCCTTGTTTTTTTATCTTAAATGTTGTATGTTTTAAGGCTAGGAGAGCTCTGTTGGCACTGAAAGGAGTTGTGAAAATGCAAGCTTTGATAAGGGGATACAATGTGCGAAAACGGGCCGAGTCGACTCTTAAATGCATACAATCTCTCGTCCGAGTTCAGGCTCTCGTTTGCGACCAATGGAGGAGGATTTCGTGTGATGCAAAACCCGTGTTCGTAAGTATTTTACGAAACCAATCGACATTGTAGAAAAAATTGTTGTTCCTTTTTATTTTTAACTCAAATTTTCTTATTAATGCATTTTCTTTTATGTTTTTTTTGCTGCAGTCTAAGAATGTGAGTAACACTTGCAATAATTTGGAAGTTGATGAAATCCAGGCTCTGATGCAGAGAGCTAAACAATGCTCATTCAGACAGGGGGAAAAACAAACACTTGCTCATATCTTGTCTCAACAGGTTCACATTTTTTGGTCTGCTTGCAAATGCACCCTATTCTTTTTTTAGAAATTATAGAACACCCCTTTTCATATATATTATTTGTTTACAAAGACTATGTTTGTTTAACTTATAAGCTTCGTGTATTCAAATAAGCTTTAAAAAACTTCTTGTAGAACAAGTTGTTTTAAAAAGCTCGAGTTTATCTCATAAGCTTTTTTGGGTAGCTTTTCAAATAAGTTGGTTGAAAAATTTATTTCAGCTAGATAAGCTAGCTGATTTTATCAAACATTTTTATCATATAAGCTAGCTTTTTAGGTATAAGTCAAAAGTTATAAGCTGTAAGCTCAAAATTCACGTAAAAGCTATAAGCGGTAGCTAGTTTACCAAACATAACCTAAATCACTCGCTCAATAAGCTTTGCTTAAATCATGTTCCAATTCGTGTTTCACTCATCCAACGCAATGAAACACATGAATAAGAACATGATTTTGAAACAAGAAATCTTTTCCTAAGAGGCTATTTGTTTTGTTCTCCTGAAAAAAGAGATTGGAATTCTGTATTTGGTTAAACTTCAGGGTTCATTTTGTAAGCATCTCCTAATTTCATGCAGGCATGGATACTTGATGAGGATCATAATTCAGACAAAGAACACAAACCGAATCATTATACGAACCATCCGACAAAAGTCAGAAAAGACCGAAATCTTTGCATCCAACGTCAGATGCATCCAATCAAGACCGTCGACATCGACACGTACGGATCATCGAAATCTCGATACCAAGATTCATACTTCATCAACTCTCCAAAAACTCCATCCGCAAAATCCGAGACAATTTATTTTAACCGAATGAGCCTTAGTGAAAATTCTTGCCCATTGCCTAGGCCCAATTACATGGCGGCCACACAGTCGGCCATGGCCCGCGTTAGGCCCAATAGCACGCCAAGACAAAGGCCTTCAAGCCCAAATAGACAGCAAACGGGCCCGGCAAGAAGGCGTCTGTCGTTTGGTAAAGGCGAGTGTTCGAGCGCGCTGTGTTATTTGACAGAGTAACTAATTAACAGAATGTGTTTCGATTTTTTCTAGTGGATTAGCACTAAGACAAGGCATTAACAATTTGTTGGAGAAATTAGAAGAACATGCATGCATATATGTGTATGCTTTGATTGTAGTTCATTTGTGCTCTCTCAATCTCATTTATCACTTTATAATTTATATAGTTTATGTTGTTGGCTCACTCATTGTCAATCTCTCCATGAAGAGTTGGTAAGTAGCAAAATTGGCCCTGAAGTTTGGTGTAATTATGGAAAAACACCGTCATTGAGAAATTGTTTGTTAAGGGAAGGAAAAATCAGATGAAGAGTGAAAATTAGAGTTGTGGGTAGATTATTAGTATGAAAAAAATGAAGGAAAAAAATCAGATGATAAGTGGATAATAGGGGGTTTCTGTAAATAAGACTGGGAAGGGAGGTTATTTTTGTAATTATAAATTTCTAATCCCACAAATATAAGGTGGCCACGGTGTTTTTCAACCCGGACCGGACCGGCAGGTCGAACTTATAAATTCTAAAGAAGAAGATCATAGCCCATATAAATGATCAAAGCACACATTTTATTCCAGGCATTAATTAAACTCTGAAAACAATCCATTAATTCACTCTGCCATTAAAAAAAAAAAAAAAAAAGAAAGAAAGCTCAGTCACCATTAAAATCACAATGTAATTGAAACCAAAACAATAAAAAATCAAGAAACCAAGTTGAAGACATTTTTTTTTTCTTTTTTTTTTCAAATTAGATTAAAAAGATCATTCTACTTTATCTTCGGCAACCCAATTTCCAACGGGCTATTGCAAACGCTACCATCAGACTGCGAAAACAACGTCCTCTGAATAACCCCAGAAGGAGAAGAAACAGCAGTCCCGAGCCCACTTACAGAATCGTGGGGCGAAGTTGGGTTCGGGCCTAAGGCCTCCGCAAGAGGCCCGCCAGGCCCAAATGGGTCAGAATAACAAACAGGGCCCGGCCACCTCACATTCTCATCACAAAATTCAACAGCATCCCCGATTTCTTGATCCAATGCGGGCCGGCCAGCCAGGCCCATAGATAAATTGAGCCAAGGAGAAAAATCTTCACTGTCAGCAGGTAAGGACGAGTAGTTGTTCAAGTTGTTGTTTGAGTTGCCGTTGAGATTATCAATCGACCAAGCACTCACTAAGTCGATAGGAAAATCGGAAAATGTTGGCATTTGATGATCCACTTGATTTGAACTATAGTCTTGATTGGAAAGGTCATTAGGGATATAAACCGAAGAAGATCCCTTGTTCGGATATGCATCGTTTTCCATTATCAAGCCGACATCCCTTCAATTCAATACAACAAAATGAATCATTAACAACAATAACAGCCTAAACACAAAAAACAATTGACACCAACCCATTAATTTACCGATTGTAAGGCTCCGTCGAGACACCACTTGTATCGAATTTCATCTCGAGCCGAGGTTTTTTTAGACTCTCGTCACCATTGATGATGCTACTGTTGTTATCCAATTCCACAGGCTTTCTTGAACGGGGGCGGCTCCTGTGTAGGTGACGCTCACAGTACTTCTGGTGGGGCGCCACATCTCTCGAGCACCGCCATTTCTTGCCGTCTGTCCTTTTGCATCTTCCGGGCTCCATGGAAGCTCCATTTCTGCTATACCCCACACTGTACATTGCTAATAAAGGGAAAAAAACAGAGTTAGATGGAAAATAAAAGGCCAGCACACTACAATGGGGTTTTAGCCGTTGGATCAGCACACACCCCTATGGGTGTGTCTGTGTGTGTGGTCCAATGGCTGTGAGAGAGAGAGAGAGAGAGAGAGAGAGAGAGAGAGAGAGAGAGAGAGAGAGTTACAGGAAATAGGAGGGTAGAGGAGATGATAAGGCACAGGCAAAGAGGAAATCATGTATTTGTAGATCATAGCTTGTCGCTCAAGCTCTATCAACTGTGTGCTTGTGAAAAACGGAACTATTTCACCTGAAAATTAACAAAAAAAAAAACAATATTTCACAAATTCAGAACAGAACAAAAAGGGGGCACAAAATTAAGGTATATTAGAAAATTGGATTACCTGTGAATTTGTAGGGTTCGGCTGAGCACGAATTGAAAATAGCAAGGGGCTGCGAGCTATTTGCAGGATTTTGAGCTCCGAAGCTCGACGGCTGCTGCGGCGGCGATGAGAGGCGGTATTCACGGTGGTGCGTGGGGTCCGCCGCTGCCACCGCCTCGTTAGCTCCGCCGAAGGGGCGGCCGAGATTGTTTTCCGTCGAGATCTGGGGAGGGGCCTCGGCCCCACGGAGCTTCTTCATCAAGCTCACCGTTAAGTACTGATGACGATACTGATGAAAAATGGCGGTTTATGGTCTTTTTATGCTCTGGTTAAGCTTCTTTTAAATGGAGATTTCGCTTTTAAAATGGGAAGATAATGGAAAAATGTTGGGAATTAAATGAGATGAGAAATGGAATTATCTTAGTTGTTTTCTTTGGGGACGCCATTATCGGCCACTTGTATGCTTCCATGCTTCCAACATTCACACAGTGGATAATAGTACTCAGAGATTAAAAATAATAATAATAATAATAGTATTTATTATTTAATTTGTGTTGGGAATATAAATTATTTTATACTACCATTTTTTAGTACTACTAATTTATTTGTCTTGGGAATGAAATATTTTATACTTTATTGTTTTGTAAATTGTAGTAATTTATTGTCATCTGTGTCGTCCATAAAATTTATTCATAAATTGTATGGTTGACCATGTCTAAGAGGATCAAATTTATTGAAAACATTTGTATATTTATGATGTATAATAATATACTACGTATTTTTATTTAATTTAGATATGACATTTGAATATGAAATATGTTAATTACTAAAAAAAAAGTATGTTGTTTTAATCATCAGATTTATCGAATACTTGAATTACCTAGATTTAATATTATTTTTTTTGGAATAATATTTTTTTATTTTAATGTGTCTAAAAATGTTAAATTTAATAATGAATCACTTTTTTTTCTTATTGTAGTCAGCCACGGTATCCGGAGATATGTCCCGAGTAATCCGTTGGTCGACCCGAGTCGCACACCTGCCAGTAGTAGGTGAGTCTCTCAACAAGGGTTTTTTTGCATCCACAAGGACTCGAACCCGAGACTTTGCTTAAGCGTCATCAAACTGCTTACCATTTGAGTCAAGCTATGTTGGTAATGAATCACTTTCTCTACCTAAAAATGGTGCATTTAAACTTTGGCACTTGGACAATTTATATTTAAATAAAAAATTAATTTTGTACTACTAGTAATTGTATTTTTCTATTGCTATTTTGTTCTTGATCAACAAATAAAAATTAAAGCTGAATATATATCTAACTTTCTAGAGAGGCTAATAAAAAAAAAAAAAANAAAAAAAAAAAACAAAATTATACTTCCTCTTTTTAATAAATAGTTGTACAGTAATTAAGATTTTTTTCTAAATAATAATCTAAATTAATGATGATAAAGGTGAATGTTTGACAAAAAATAAATAGTGAATATAAAAAGACGTAGTGTATTTATTAGTATATAAGAATAATAATAAAAAATATATATAATATCCAAAAATTATATATTTAGTTAATTGTTGATAAAGTCAAAATAACATTTTAAAAAAAAAATAAGAGGCACGATATTTAATGTTCAACTTGTACAAACATTGAAAACTCATATTGGGGCCAAGTTAGTTGGTGGGTGGTACCCTATATTTCATTTTATTCAAAGTGTAATAATATTTAAAGAAAATTAACCAATATTAGTAAACTCGAATAAAAAACCAAGACAATAAATTCTAATAAATATACCAAAAAAGTTAAATAAATAAATGTAGTGAATTAAATAAGCATGATTAAGGCATGTGAAAAGAGGAAGAATGGGACACGGCTATGCAACAACTAAAAGAGAGTGTTTAGACAACTGTAATTTCTTATACAAAATACATCTTTTATTGTACATGGACTTTTATATATCATCCTAATTTACTGAATTTATATATACTAATACAACACCCGTGTATTACAAAGGTGCTTGTTAAAATATTATTCTTAAATTTTAAAATTAATGAGAAAACTATATTAAATTTAGTTTACTTTTTTACAAAAAAAAATAAATATATTACTATATATTTTAGAATGATATGTTTACTTATGACTTACATGTGTTATATTATATTAATTTTTATAACTTATATCATATAACTACTTGAAATATAAATATATTAGTTGATAAATAATTTTATTTTTCTAATTAATATTAAAAATAATTTTATTATTGTTATAAAGATAAATATAAATTATTTTTTTATACATACAATATGGATGTTAAATCGAAGCTCATCAAAAGAAGATTAATTTGATATATTACATATGTAAAACTGATAAAAAATACAAAAGTTATTAACTTTTAAAATATATATACAATTCAAAAGTTATAATAAGAAATGATATTAAAATGCAATTAATACATGTAACATGACCATAAATAATCAACATATTTATGGTAATCCGAACCTAAATATTTTTAGTTTGGATTTAAATTAAAATTTACCCAAGCCCAATAACAAAGCATGTATTTTGCCACATAGGATTCCGAAGCACCAAAAGCAGCCACGTAAGCTCAGCACGTTATGGATTAATATATAGATATATATATATATATATATATAGAGAATGGATCATATGAGAATGGTAGATAGTGAAAGAAATAAGAATATTTCTATACCATTAGATCAATTATGTCAATGGACATGATGAAGTCAAAATTAAATAACAATGGTCAAAT